CAGCTCACTCTTCCCTTCCCTTCACCCTTTTTGTCCCTCCCTCCTCCCCTCAAATTCCAGCAGCCTCCGCCCCTCCGTCCTTCTCCCACTCCCCATTAACCTCCTCCTCTCCCCTCCTCACCTCCGGATCGGCTCGGCTCCTCCCCTCCTCGCTGCGCCTCACTCCCCTCTCTCCCCCCCACCAAGTGGGCCTTGCCCTGCACCCCACGCCCTTCCCCCTCATCTCCTCCGCCACCCCCACCTCCTCCTGCCGCCCCTACTCCTTCTCCTCCTCCTTCTCCTTCCGCCTCTCCTCCCCCCACCCCGCTGCCCTCGGGGCCGACGGCTTTGCTTTCGTTCTCCTGCCCGACCCCACTGTCGGGCTGCCCGGGCCAAACATGGGGTACGGCAGAAGGCCTTACAGTCAGGAGGAGGTGTTTGTGGCTGCAGATGGGGGGGGACTTGGAGGTGGGGTGATAGGGGAAGAGGAGTGTGTGGTAGTGAACGGGGCCTTTGTATGCACTCCGATTGGCAGCAGCAGCGGCAGTGGCATCACGTATAACAGCAGCCTGCCACATCAGCACAGCCTGGCAGTGGAGTTTGACACGTCATCAACCCGTCTGTTTTCGGACTTAACCACTCACCACGTGGGAATAAACGTGGATTACAGCATGACGTCAGCAGGCCATGCGTCTGTGCACCCCGCGGGCATGGCCTCGCTGGGCGGCAACAAGAACGAGACGCTGCATGCATGGGTGGCCTACAACGCCACCGCCTTGCTGCTCTCTGTGAGCCTCTCCTCCTCGCCCGCCATGCCCCCCTCCGCCCTCCTCTCCCTCCCCTTCAACGCCTGCGATCTCTTTCACTCCGCTCCAAAGGAGGACGGCGGGGAGGGGGAGGCCGTGTTGGTGCATGCGGGGTTTGCAGCCGGCACGGGGCTGCTGCCGCTGCACACTCAGACGCACGACATCCTCTCCTGGGCCTTCCAGGTTGACACCCAAGGTGAGCGTTGGAGTGGCAGCGGGAAGGGCAGTTGCGTGGGGAGGTTTACAGCTTGCCAAGAGAGAGCCACCGACTGATTGAGCGGGGGGCAAGGATTGATTAAGTGCGACGTGTCTTCTGCCCACTTTCGTCCGCTCTTCTCTCCGTTTCCCCCCCTATCTATTATCCCCATCCGCCTTTGCATGTGGGAGTGATACCCCTTCCCTCTTTCCTCCCTCCAACGATGTTTCCTCTCTTTCCCTTATGTTTCCCTCCTCTTCCTCCTGTCCCCCAAAACGCTCACCTCCCCTTCTCCCAGCGCCGGCTCCTCCTCCCCGTTTTGCCAGGCCGGCCCAACCACGGGCCGGCCCTCAGCACGTCTCCTTTCTTCCTTTTCCGTCCTGCCGCTCTCTGCTTGTGAGCTAACCTATTTTCGTTCACTCCTCCTCTCCTTTTCTGCCTCTTTGCCAGCGCCGGCGCCTCCTCCCCTCTGCCTGCCGCCATCGCTCTCCTTCCCCTTCCTCACGCAAGGCACCCGCTTCACTACCTTGGGTTCCACTCGCCAAACCTTCTCCTCGCTGCAACTCACTCCAGGCAACGACGAGGAGGAGGCAGGCGCTGCCTTCTTCCCTCTCCCCCTGCCCCTACTCTCGCTCCTCCCCCCTCCTCCTCCCCGCAAGGGGAAAAAGGGTAGGAAAACTGATGCAGTTGTGTGCAAGGCTCGGTCTTTCACCTCGTGGTTTCCTTTTGAGCTCAAGGGAAGCGGATTTTTTGGATACGGGGTGGTTTTCATGCTAAGTACTCGGCCGGGGGTGGGGAAAGGAGGGGCGGCTATGGGGTATGGGCGTGACTCATTAGACAGGAATGCAAATGGGACGTGGGCGGATGGAGGGAGGAGTGTGGCGGTGATGTTTGATGCCTTTAGCGGCCTTGACCCTAACCGTGACGTTAACAAGGATGTGGCGATTCTCTCCGTTCACACTGACTTTAACGTGACACGGCGGCTAGCTTCTTCGTCTCAAAAGAGATACACTTCATCCTCGTTGTACAGCATGAGGGTGGACTATACAGCTGCCACTAAGACTCTAGAGGCAGTGACTTATAGAGGAGCTACGAGGATGGGGAGAGTGAAGCTGAGTCTTGACCTGTGCTCTGTGTTCTAAGATGGCAATAGCACCACTGAGGGAGTGATTCCAGTGTTTGCTGGGTTCAGCAGTGCCAGCACGCAGGCATGTGTTCAGTCCATCAAAGCGTGGACCTTCCGATTCACGGGTGTGTGTGATGGGTTGGGTGTGTGTGTGTGAAGGGTCTGGGTGAGTGTTGTGTGTGTGTATGTGTGCATGTGCTCGTGTGCATTCATGATTCACGTGTGTTTTGTAATTGTTTCTTAAGTGCGTCGAACGTGGACCTTCTGATTTCACAGTTTTGTGTGACTGGAGGTTGTTTCTATTCCAAATTATCATGCATTGCCGGTGTTTTAGCATGCATTGCCGGTGATGGAGCATGCCAAGTTTGCATATGCTTCCTACTCCTTTCTTCAGCAGCCCTGCTCCCCTCTCATCTCCTCTATCATCCTCTCCTTGTCTCTCCTTGTCTCTCCTTGTCTCTCCTTGTCTCTCCGTGTCTCTCCTTGTCTCTCCTTGTCTCTCCTTGTCTCTCCTTGTCTCTCCGTGTCTCTCCGTGTCTCTCCTTGTCTCTCCTTGTCTCTCCTTGTCTCTCCTTGTCTCTCCTTGTCTCTCCTTGTCTCTCCTTGTCTCTCCTTGTCTCTCCTTGTCTCTCCTTGTCTCTCCTTGTCTCTCCTTGTCTCTCCGTGTCTCTCCGTGTCTCTCCTTGTCTCTCCTTGTCTCTCCTTGTCTCTCCTTGTCTCTCCTTGTCTCTCCTTGTCTCTCCTTGTCTCTCCTTGTCTCTCCTTGTCTCTCCTTGTCTCTCCTTGTCTCTCCTTGTCTCTCCTTGTCTCTCCTTGTCTCTCCTTGTCTCTCCTTGTCTCTCCTTGTCTCTCCTTGTCTCTCCGTGTCTCTCCGTGTCTCTCCTTGTCTCTCCTTGTCTCTCCTTGTCTCTCCTTGTCTCTCCTTGTCTCTCCTTGTCTCTCCTTGTCTCTCCTTGTCTCTCCTTGTCTCTCCTTGTCTCTCCGTGTCTCTCCTTGTCTCTCCTTGTCTCTCCTTGTCTCTCCTTGTCTCTCCGTGTCTCTCCTTGTCTCTCCTTGTCTCTCCTTGTCTCTCCTTGTCTCTCCTTGTCTCTCCTTGTCTCTCCTTGTCTCTCCTTGTCTCTCCTTGTCTCTCCTTGTCTCTCCTTGTCTCTCCTTGTCTCTCCTTGTCTCTCCTTGTCTCTCCTTGTCTCTCCTTGTCTCTCCTTGTCTCTCCTTGTCTCTCCTTGTCTCTCCTTGTCTCTCCTTGTCTCTCCTTGTCTCTCCTTGTCTCTCCTTGTCTCTCCTTGTCTCTCCTTGTCTCTCCTTGTCTCTCCTTGTCTCTCCTTGTCTCTCCTTGTCTCTCCTTGTCTCTCCTTGTCTCTCCTTGTCTCTCCTTGTCTCTCCTTGTCTCTCCTTGTCTCTCCTTGTCTCTCCTTGTCTCTCCTTGTCTCTCCTTGTCTCTCCTTGTCTCTCCTTGTCTCTCCTTGTCTCTCCTTGTCTCTCCTTGTCTCTCCTTGTCTCTCCTTGTCTCTCCTTGTCTCTCCTTGTCTCTCCTTGTCTCTCCTTGTCTCTCCTTGTCTCTCCTTGTCTCTCCTTGTCTCTCCTTGTCTCTCCTTGTCTCTCCTTGTCTCTCCTTGTCTCTCCTTGTCTCTCCTTGTCTCTCCTTGTCTCTCCTTGTCTCTCCTTGTCTCTCCTTGTCTCTCCGTGTCTCTCCTTGTCTCTCCTTGTCTCTCCTTGTCTCTCCTTGTCTCTCCTTGTCTCTCCTTGTCTCTCCTTGTCTCTCCTTGTCTCTCCTTGTCTCTCCTTGTCTCTCCTTGTCTCTCCGTGTCTCTCCTTGTCTCTCCTTGTCTCTCCTTGTCTCTCCTTGTCTCTCCTTGTCTCTCCTTGTCTCTCCTTGTCTCTCCTTGTCTCTCCTTGTCTCTCCGTGTCTCTCCGTGTCTCTCCTTGTCTCTCCTTGTCTCTCCGTGTCTCTCCGTGTCTCTCCTTGTCTCTCCTTGTCTCTCCTTGTCTCTCCTTGTCTCTCCTTGTCTCTCCGTGTCTCTCCTTGTCTCTCCTTGTCTCTCCGTGTCTCTCCGTGTCTCTCCTTGTCTCTCCTTGTCTCTCCTTGTCTCTCCTTGTCTCTCCTTGTCTCTCCGTGTCTCTCCTTGTCTCTCCTTGTCTCTCCTTGTCTCTCCTTGTCTCTCCGTGTCTCTCCTTGTCTCTCCTTGTCTCTCCTTGTCTCTCCGTGTCTCTCCTTGTCTCTCCTTGTCTCTCCTTGTCTCTCCTTGTCTCTCCGTGTCTCTCCTTGTCTCTCCTTGTCTCTCCTTGTCTCTCCTCTCCTCACTCCCCATGCCACACAGACGTCAACCCATGCACGGCGTGGGACGTGAACCCATGCGGTGCTGGCAGGTGCAGTGCGGTGAGGTCAGCAGCCACAGGCACATACACCAGCACGTGCTCGTGCCCTCTCAGCCAGCCCAGCTACAAGCTTTCCCAAATGCCCGCCTTCCAAACATGCTTCAACGGTAAGCTTGGCAGGTTATAATGGTAAGTCCACGCAGCCATCACCACTTAGTGCACAAGGGTATTGACAAGGGTAAATCCTGATTAAAATTACGTCTCATCAACTCGAGCTCGTGCCCTCTCATCTCAGCCATTGCAGCTGCAACCCCTCCAATGTTGCCACATCCATAACTCTTCAACTTTCACAGCACAGCGTTGTGGCTGCGATGTTAACCAGCACGTTGATACTTACCTCTCTGCTTTTACTGATACTTACCTATGTGGCTGCGATGCTAGCAGCCTCACTCCCCACTGACCATCTCATCGCTTCACACGCCAGTCACTGTAGTTCTCTCTGTAGTTCCTTCCCACTTACCATCTCATCGCCTCTAACCTCTCTTAATTCCTCTCCACCTTTTCAATGTCCCTCCAGAGTTCCCCATATGTCGCCTTAACAGCACTGACACGTGTGCGCCTGGCGTGTGCCTGGAGAGCTATGATGCCTCCTCCTTGTGCCTGTGCCCGCCCGCCTTCTTCCCCCTTGACTACTCTAACCCCCTCAAGCAACCCTGCAACCAAGGTACACTAACCTCTCCCTAACTGAAGGTTACCTTGTAACTCAAGCAAACCACCACCTACTTTTTAACCAAACAAAGTCGTTGCCACGGAAAGTGATGGCTCCAACCTGGGGCTCCATTGAGATCATTCATTAGTTTAGCCTCCCGTGCTCGCCTGTGAACTCCCGTGCTCGCCCGTGAACTCCTATACTCGCCTCCACGCCCACCACTCCCATTATCTCCAATACTCCCACCTACCACTCCCATTTTCTCCTATCCTCTCACCTGCAGTAAACCCTCTGGTCTGTCATGCATTATCCTTTTCCCGCCTCCCACTTCTGGCAAGCCATGAGAACTCACTTCTGGCAAGCCATGAGAACTCACTTCTGGCAAGCCATGAGAACTCACTTCTGGCAAGCCATGAGAACTCACTTCTGGCAAGCCATGAGAACTCACTTCTGGCAAGCCATGAGAACTCACTTCTGGCAAGCCATGAGAACTCACTTCTGGCAAGCCATGAGAACTCACTTCTGGCAAGCCATGAGAACTCACTTCTGGCAAGCCATGAGAACTCACTTCTGGCAAGCCATGAGAACTCACTTCTGGCAAGCCATGAGAACTCACTTCTGGCAAGCCATGAGAACTCACTTCTGGCAAACCATGAGAACTCACTTCTGGCAAGCCATGAGAACTCACTTCTGGCAAGCCATGAGAACTCACTTCTGGCAAGCCATGAGAACTCACTTCTGGCAAGCCATGAGAACTCACTTCTGGCAAGCCATGAGAACTCACTTCTGGCAAGCCATGAGAACTCACTTCTGGCAAGCCATGAGAACTCACTTCTGGCAAGCCATGAGAACTCACCTTTTTCGCTCTACCCTGCCTCGTCTTCTACTTCTGCTCTCCCCTCATCCCCCTTGTACCCATGACATCGGTCGCACTCCTCTCCCCTCACATACCCTCCATTACTACGGGACCCTAAACCCTTGCTTCACTGTGCCTTTTCTCTCCCACTCTACCCTTTGCTTCCCTCTGTTTCCCCCTTTACCCCACCTCTCCCCCTGCCCTTTGTCCCCTTTCCCCCCCCTCCCCCGCTCCCCTCTGTCCCTTCTCCCACTCCTCTCCCCCCATTCTCCCCTACCCACCCTCTGTCCACCAGTGAGCAAATCTGCCACTCGAGTGTCATTCTTCCCAGCACCCCCCGGCCTCACATGCCCTCTGCTGCTCGACATCTTTGATCTCTCACCTCAAGAGCTGCTGAAGAGCAACCAGGTGAGGCGTGCTCACGATTTGCTGAACGCTCCTTATTCTGCTGGGTTTCCCGAGCTGCTTCTTGCTTCTAAGTTTTTTACGGTTATTGTACTGCATGTAAGGCATTAAGAAGCACAGGAGGTAGAAGAGCACAGACTATCTGAGCTCAGGAGCACAGACTAGCTGAGCTCAGGAGCACAGACTAGCTGAGCTCAGGAGCACAGACTAGCTGAGCTCAGGAGCACAGACTATCTAAGCTCAGGAGCACAGACTAGCTGAGCTCAGGAGCACAGACTAGCTGAGCTCAGGAGCACAGACTAGCTGAGCTCAGGAGCACAGACTAGCTGAGCTCAGGAGCACAGACTAGCTGAGCTCAGGAGCACAGACTAGCTGAGCTCAGGAGCACAGACTAGCTGAGCTCAGGAGCACAGACTAGCTGAGCTCAGGAGCACAGACTAGCTGAGCTCAGGAGCACAGACTAGCTGAGCTCAGGAGCACAGACTAGCTGAGCTCAGGAGCACAGACTAGCTGAGCTCAGGAGCACAGACTAGCTGAGCTCAGGAGCACAGACTAGCTGAGCTCAGGAGCACAGACTAGCTGAGCTCAGGAGCACAGACTAGCTGAGCTCAGGAGCACAGACTAGCTGAGCTCAGGAGCACAGACTAGCTGAGCTCAGGAGCACAGACTAGCTGAGCTCAGGAGCACAGACTAGCTGAGCTCAGGAGCACAGACTAGCTGAGCTCAGGAGCACAGACTAGCTGAGCTCAGGAGCACAGACTAGCTGAGCTCAGGAGCACAGACTAGCTGAGCTCAGGAGCACAGACTAGCTGAGCTCAGGAGCACAGACTAGCTGAGCTCAGGAGCACAGACTAGCTGAGCTCAGGAGCACAGACTAGCTGAGCTCAGGAGCACAGACTAGCTGAGCTCAGGAGCACAGACTAGCTGAGCTCAGGAGCACAGACTAGCTGAGCTCAGGAGCACAGACTAGCTGAGCTCAGGAGCACAGACTAGCTGAGCTCAGGAGCACAGACTAGCTGAGCTCAGGAGCACAGACTAGCTGAGCTCAGGAGCACAGACTAGCTGAGCTCAGGAGCACAGACTAGCTGAGCTCAGGAGCACAGACTAGCTGAGCTCAGGAGCACAGACTAGCTGAGCTCAGGAGCACAGACTAGCTGAGCTCAGGAGCACAGACTAGCTGAGCTCAGGAGCACAGACTAGCTGAGCTCAGGAGCACAGACTAGCTGAGCTCAGGAGCACAGACTAGCTGAGCTCAGGAGCACAGACTAGCTGAGCTCAGGAGCACAGACTAGCTCAGGAGCACAGACTAGCTGAGCTCAGGAGCACAGACTAGCTGAGCTCAGGAGCACAGACTAGCTGAGCTCAGGAGCACAGACTAGCTGAGCTCAGGAGCACAGACTAGCTGAGCTCAGGAGCACAGACTAGCTGAGCTCAGGAGCACAGACTAGCTGAGCTCAGGAGCACAGACTAGCTGAGCTCAGGAGCACAGACTAGCTGAGCTCAGGAGCACAGACTAGCTGAGCTCAGGAGCACAGACTAGCTGAGCTCAGGAGCACAGACTAGCTGAGCTCAGGAGCACAGACTAGCTGAGCTCAGGAGCACAGACTAGCTGAGCTCAGGAGCACAGACTAGCTGAGCTCAGGAGCACAGACTAGCTGAGCTCAGGAGCACAGACTAGCTGAGCTCAGGAGCACAGACTAGCTGAGCTCAGGAGCACAGACTAGCTGAGCTCAGGAGCACAGACTAGCTGAGCTCAGGAGCACAGACTAGCTGAGCTCAGGAGCACAGACTAGCTGAGCTCAGGAGCACAGACTAGCTGAGCTCAGGAGCACAGACTAGCTGAGCTCAGGAGCACAGACTAGCTGAGCTCAGGAGCACAGACTAGCTGAGCTCAGGAGCACAGACTAGCTGAGCTCAGGAGCACAGACTAGCTGAGCTCAGGAGCACAGACTAGCTGAGCTCAGGAGCACAGACTAGCTGAGCTCAGGAGCACAGACTAGCTGAGCTCAGGAGCACAGACTAGCTGAGCTCAGGAGCACAGACTAGCTGAGCTCAGGAGCACAGACTAGCTGAGCTCAGGAGCACAGACTAGCTGAGCTCAGGAGCACAGACTAGCTGAGCTCAGGAGCACAGACTAGCTGAGCTCAGGAGCACAGACTAGCTGAGCTCAGGAGCACAGACTAGCTGAGCTCAGGAGCACAGACTAGCTGAGCTCAGGAGCACAGACTAGCTGAGCTCAGGAGCACAGACTAGCTGAGCTCAGGAGCACAGACTAGCTGAGCTCAGGAGCACAGACTAGCTGAGCTCAGGAGCACAGACTAGCTGAGCTCAGGAGCACAGACTAGCTGAGCTCAGGAGCACAGACTAGCTGAGCTCAGGAGCACAGACTAGCTGAGCTCAGGAGCACAGACTAGCTGAGCTCAGGAGCACAGACTAGCTGAGCTCAGGAGCACAGACTAGCTGAGCTCAGGAGCACAGACTAGCTGAGCTCAGGAGCACAGACTAGCTGAGCTCAGGAGCACAGACTAGCTGAGCTCAGGAGCACAGACTAGCTGAGCTCAGGAGCACAGAGACTGGGTGAACATATCCTGTTAAGGGCTCTTCCTCTTTTAATTCTCGAGACGCCCCTACACCCTAAACCCGAAACCCGAGTGCTGCTGCACCCTCGTAATAGATGCTCATTTGCTTCATCCATGCTCTGTTTCACTCCCCCCATGGTATTTATCAATCCGCGGCATGTTGCTTTGTTCTCTGCTGTGGTTCTTTCTGTACGGCAGGGCATGGCATGTGACAAGCCCATACCTCATGGGTTGATAGTCAATGTGTCCGCATCTGCTAACAAGAACTGCACCAGCATGTATACCGCCAACCAGGTGAGGCATGAAGGGGTGCTTCTAATGACAGTGTGAAACATATTCGCCAGTTGGTCAAAGGAATAGATGCATATCAACCTGCCTCTCTTCTTCTGCCCTTCTGACCTGACACGACGCATGCCCCTCTGCCCCTTCTAGCCCTTCTCACACACTCCAGAATGATGCATGTGGAAATGTGCCTGTCCCGTTGATTAGACTGGACTGGGGTTCCTAATGGCGATTGTAGCAGCCTTTACCATTCACTGCTCGCAAATGCATGCCTTCTCATCGCCACACATCATCCCCTTCATGCCTTCACCCCTGCGTCACACACCCCTGCGTCACACATATTTGACATTGCAACATAATGGAACCACAGTGGTACATGCACTGCACGCCAACCAAACACTCTCAAAACCCGCGGCATTAAATTCAGACTGGAATTGTATTACTGACTTCCCCTCTCACCCACTCTCCATCTCGCTCTCACATGCACCCATCTCCCCTCCCCACCATCCCAGGGTGACACGTGTGCTTCAATCAACAGCCTTCTTGACACCAACATAACAGATCTAAACCGTAACATTAACTGCTCACAACCTCTCGTCCCTGGAAAGGTTTGATCCCATCCCAAACCCTTCCCGTTTCAGTCCGTTCCTGATACCTTTTCTGGTGTGGCGCTCTTTGCTCTATTCGGCCAACCATGCCAGCAAGCGTTAGCGTTACCATGTCAATTGTAGCATACCACTCATGACAACTTTCCACTCATGACAACTTTCCTATGGTAAACGTATGTATTTCTATTCAACAGATACAAACTAACATGCTAATTTTATGAATCATCTCAATAGCTTGTTAACTAATTTTGTTATGTCAAGACGTTTTAAATGTCCTGGGTGTGACAACTGATTGTGAAGGGAAATACCGGCAGAGAAAAGCAGTCTTGGAAGCACTCTAGTGGGCAGTCTAGTGGGCATGAGCCCCATCTTTCCAGCACCAGCTCTGTCACCAAAGCCTCTGTGGTGGGCATGGCCCCTCACCACCAAAGCCTCTGTGGTGGGCATGGCCCCTCACCACCAAAGCCTCTGTGGTGGGCATGGCCCCTCACCACCAAAGCCTCTGTGGTGGGCATGGCCCCTCACCACCAAAGCCTCTGTGGTGGGCATGGCCCCTCACCACCAAAGCCTCTGTGGTGGGCATGGCCCCTCACCACCAAAGCCTCTCTCCCCTCCCCTCCACCTTGCTCTCCCCACCCCCACCTCTCCCCCCCACCCACTCCCCTCACTTCACCTCTTCCCCCACTCCCCACTCCCCCTCTCCCCCACCCCCCCCTCCTCCCCCACTCACTCCATGCAGCGAATATGTGTGCGGCACAACCCTGACGTGCCCACACCCCCAGTGGCAGCCTGCATGGTTCATCACTTTTTCGATCCGGAGACGCACACATGCCAGCAGCTCTCCAGGCTCGGCTACGGGTTCAGCCTCATGAGCTACTCAAAGCTTTTCCTCGCCAACCCCGCTCTCTACTGCGACCAACTGCTGCCTGGTGCAGCTGGGTGGGACGACTCGGTTCTCGACTCGGTGAGTGGGCCTGAGTTTCACGTGGCACTCAAGGTGACTTTAGAGTCGGCTCAAAAGTCACCTCAATGCAGCTGGGTGGGATGACTCTGTTCTCGACTCGGTGAGTAGGTCATGTGAATGTGACGTGGCACTCACATGATCTGACTTCTGAGTGGTCGACTCAGTGAGTGGGTCATCTGAATGTCACCTGGCACTTACATGAGCTGGGCTTCGCAGACCAAGTCCAGCTCAACCTTGCTGCTCTTTGTTAAGGCCACGTGCTGCCCACCCCGGTGCTGTTGGCTGGACTGACTGTTCTCCACAAGGTGGGTCCATACTGTGTTGTTCTCAACACCATGCGTGTTGTTTGCCTCTGATCTTGTATACTTCGCATTTTTCTTCTTGCAAGGACTCGCGCGGGCCTTGCTGCACTTATGGAACATGACTGTCTGGTTCGTGGGTGTTATAGATTCGTTCATGGGTGAGCGATGGTCTTGGTATTGGTGTTGTTGTGTGTCAGGGCATCTTATAGTGGTACCGTGGTTGCTGAAAATTGCATTTCGACATGGTGTACGTGGCAAAGTTTGGGTGGATTTGTGGGTTGACCCCTCACACCAGGTGTGCATATTGACGGACATGCGTTCGGGTTCTGGAGGAACGCAGTGCGATACTCGCCGGTTCTACTATGTTAGGAAAGGGGATACCTGCGGCAAGCTGATTGCATCTCGATACAAGAAGAAAATGAACCTTTTTCGCTCACTCAATGGAGGGTATGACTGTACCGTGTCGTCGTTGTGGGAGGGTATGAAGCTGTGCTTACCGTAAGTTGAGATTCTAACATCTAATGCTGGATTATGCACCATTGCTTTAACCTTACTTAAAGATCAGCCTTCACATAAATCTACTGAAAGCTCTAGGCCCGAATTGCAGACCGCGCGGGACAAGCTTACTAAAGTTGATCGGAGTGCTTTCTGAGTGTTGTTTTGGTTGCGAAATGCGGTTACGAGAAGTGCGATGCAATTTGATTGGCCATCAGTTTTTGAACGAATCGGAAAGCAAGAAACACCAAGAATATTGTGAGTGCAATTTGGGACTCCTAGGGTTTGCTTCCTGGGGTTTGTTGAGTAAGCGAGAATTCTGACTATGTAGTGAGAAGCTGCGCGAAACTAAACAAACCAATTTCAAACAAGTCAATGTTGTGTCAGAATGCTGTAAGTAATTGTCTAGTATGCAGTGGGGTACTCTATAGTGTGTACAGTCCAAATTAGGGTTTGCTATATGTATCCTATCTGCTGCTAGTACAACCTCTTTTTTGTTTCTAACTTTCTCCTAGTGTTTCTCGACATGCTATCAGAGCGAGAACGCTCCTGGCCTGCGGGCCCACTTGCTTCCGCTGCTGTCCTGCTTGTCGCTCGCCCCCGGCGCGCAACGATTTCTGCCTGCCGCGTGCCCGGCGCGCGTGGCGTTTTTTCTTCTTGCCGCGCGCTCGGGGCGCGTGGCGGTTTTCTGCCCGCCATGCGCTTGGGGCGCGTGGTGGTTTCCTGCCCGCCGCGCGCTCCGGGTGCGCGCGGCGGTTTCGTCGCCCGTCGGGGCGCCCCGGGGGCCCGCGCGCTGCCCCCTTCTGTCACCCGTTGCAGCGCCCCGGGGGCCCGCGCGCCGCCCTCTGCCCGTCGCCCGTCGCGGCGCCCTAGGGGCTAGCGCCTCGCCCCCTCCCGTCGCCCGTCACGGCGCCCTGAGGGCCCGCGCGCCTCCCTGCCCGTCGCCCGTCGCGCCCCAAGGACCCGCGCGCCACCCCGCTTCTGCTCGCTTGCCGCTCCAGCTGCTGCCCGCTTATCTGCCCCACGCCGCACGCGCGCCGCCTGCGTTGGGGGTAAGAAGGTGGCAGGTATGGGGGTGGCGGGTGTGTGAGCCGTGTCAAATTATATATATGCTTGTTTATGTCATCTAGGCTGTATGGGGGTTAGCTCTAGGGGGTACACAAACTTTCTCGATACCCTAGTCTTGTACCCTAGCCTTCACCCAATCCACTCATCCTTGCCTAAGGTTCTTAACATGGTAACAAGAGCAGGAGGTCTCTAGGACCTACGAATCGGGCCCACCTAACTGCCTGCCTTGCCTACTGCTCGCGCACGCCTTGGCTGCAGCGCGCGTCACTTATTTTTCCCGCGCGCGCCTCGGTTTCTAGCGCGCGCGTCTCTGTTTTTTTAGCGTGCGCCACTGCTGCAGAGCCGCGTGCCGGTCCGCGTCGCCCGCGCAGCTCACGTAGAGCCCACGCGCCCCTTACGCCGCCCGCGCGCAGCCTGCTTAGGCCCGTCGCCGCACGCAAAACGCAGCCACGCGCGCTGCCCGTCGCCACGTGCAGCCAAGAGCCGCGCGCAGCACGTAGCCACGCGCAGCAGAGAGCCACGTGCTGCCCTTAGCCGCACGCAGCCAGAAGCCGCGCGCAGCACGTAGCCACGCGCTGCCCTTAGCCGCACGCAGCCAGCAGCTGCGCGCGTCTACTAGTGTACTTGCCTGTGAGGCTCATTGCTACCGAGTCCGCTGCCTTCAAACTGTACGGCCTGCCACTGTCTAGAGCCCCACCTTAGGAGCTCGGGTGCAGCAAGCTACTGCCCTGCACGTTGCCTGTACTGCCTACTGCCTACTGCCTCTGTGTTAGCCTGCTGTCTACTGCCTGCTGCCTCGTGTCTACTGCCTGCCTGCTTTCTGCTGCCTTTGCCTACTGCTGTTATGACGACGCCTAATGTTCTCGCGTTCGAACCTGACGGTCGCCCCATAGAGTTGACTGTGTGGCTAGATGACCTGCAACTGTTCCTTTTGACCGATGCCAAAGAGGGTGTTTCACTGTTCGATTATGTGTCTGGCACTTCCGTTGCTCCTGCTGCTGATGCTCCTACTCTCGAACGCTCGTAGTGGCAGACTCGCGATGCTGCTGCACGCCTAGCTATTAGGAACCATCTGCCGATCACTAAGCGCGCGCATTTCAGCCAGTACAAGACACAGTACGACGCTATAGTTGCGCGCTACTCCTCCCCGGCCACTGCGGCCATAGGTCGGCTCATGCTACCCTACCTGTTCCCCGACCTTTCCTCGTTCACCACTACTGAGGACCTCATTTCTCACCTCCGCGCTACTGACACTCGCTTTCATGCCGCCCTCTCAGCCGAGTTCTGCGCCGCAATCCCCCCCCCCCCTCGATGTACTCCACTCTCTATTTCCTCGTTACGCGCCTCCCAGACACTCTTAACTCGGCCAGAGACCACTTCCTAGCGCTAGACCCCCCCACTCTCACTGTCAACGACTTTGAGAAGCACCTCCTTGCACCAGTGAAGAACATCTTCGCTGTAGGTGCTGCTTGTAGTTCTCGTCGCTCTCCCCTCTTTGAGGGATGCTCCCTCTCCCCTCTCACCCTCTCCTACGCCTCCGCAGCTGCTGCTCACGACTACCTTGGTGCTGAGGTCGGAGCTGCTTCCGCTCCTAGTGGGAAGCGTCGCAGCCGCAGGGGTGGCAGGGCAGGTGGGGGCGGCGGTGGAGGTGGCGGTGGTGCAGGCGGCGGGGGCGGTGGAGGTGGTGGGGGTGGTCGTGGGGGTGGAGGGGGTGGAGGTGGTGGTGGGGGCGGCGGAGGCACTGGGGGCGGTGGAGGGGGCAGCAGCGGCGGTGGGGGAGGAGGGAGCGGTGGTGGCAGTGGTGGTCAGGGCTAGCAGCAGCCGCAGCAACAGCAGCAGCAATAGTAGCAGCGTCAGCGCCAAACCCCCACTTCCCAGCAACTTCTTGACTGGTATGCCGGGCGTGGGGCTTCTAGTGGTCCTGGTCGGTGCCCCTATATCATCCGCACAGGTCCCCGCGCTAATCGCTAGTGCACAGGGTTTTTCACACTGAGCAGCACTGCTTTGCTCGACTTAGCGACGCCTGGCGCGCCAAGTTTCCTTATGCTACTCAGTTCCCCAACTGGGGAGACTTGCTTAGGCGTGATGTACCAATCTTTGATCTTGACTATGAGGCTGTTCTAGCTACTATGTATGCATTGTCTGTTAGTGCTGAGGGTGACTACTACTTCTGTGTGCCGCCGGATCCTGGTATAGCCCCTACTGCACTAGGTGCTTGTGAGTCTGCTCCCCTTGGTACTGCGCCTGCACAGGCCTTGCACACCTTTACACTTGACTCTGGTGCTTCCCGCTGTTTCTTTCCCGACAGTACCACAGTCATTCCTCTTTCTGCACCTGCACCTGTCTCACTGGCTGATCCGTCTGGGGGCCCAATGATTGCACGGTCTTCCACTGTGCTTCCGTGTCCGGCGGTCCCGTCTGGTGAGCCGTCTGGTCTCCACCTCCCCTCGTTCTCTACGAACTTGGTGAGCAATGGTGTCCTCCAGGATGCGGGTGTTGACACCTTCACCCTTGGCCGATAGAGTGTGGCGATTTGCACGTGCTCCTAGACCGGCTGCCACCTGGCCACGTTCACCCGTGCGCCAGGGTCCAGTCTGCACACCCTCACCACTGCGTCCTGCTTCACCCCTTTGTCTCCCTAGCTGCACGCGTCTGCTCAAGTAGCTACCTAGTGTGAGTGTCGCCGGCTGTCTCACAACACCCTCCTGTGGCACCACTGCCAGGGACACCCCTCCCTGCCTCGCCTTCGTAGCATGCACTCTCGCTTTCTGGTTTCTGGTCTTCCCAGGTCTCTGCCTGCCCTCCCTCCCTCGCTTGCGCCGCCCTGCATTCCTTGCGTCGAGGGGCGGCAGCGCGCTGCTCCTCACTCCTTCTCGTTCCCTCCCACAGAGGCTCCACTTCAGACTCTCCACCTGGACGTGCGGGGCCCAGCCCGCGTCCGTGGACAGGGCCACGAGCGGTACTTCCTGCTGGTTGTCGACAACTACACGCGCTACACCACGGTCTTCCCCTTGCAGCGCAAGAGGGATGTCCATGATGTTTTCATCCCCTGGATCCGGGCTACTCGTCTCCAGCTCCGCGAGCGGTTCCAGTTGGACTTTCCTGTCCTGCGTCTGCACTCTGACAGATGTGGTGAGTTCTCCTCAGACCTCTTGGCCACCTTCTGTGCGGAGCACGGCATCTGCCAAACTTTCACGCTTCCCGCCTCTCCGTAGCAGA